TAGCAAGTGAAAATAAAATAAAATAAACAATAAAAGGTGAATCAAATAGACCATTACGTCAAGGCTGGGATGGTCCATTTGGTAAAGTAAATCCGTTGGGCATCTTTCTTCACCTTTAGACAATAATTCTAATGGCAAAAGAGCCAAATGGGACAGGCAAAAACAAAAACAAACAAACAAACAAACAAACAAAAAAACACTCCACAAATCCTGTGAATGATTCATTTCCTCATAACCCATCCAGTCTTTCAGTGATGTTGTATGAACCCTGCTTCTGGGTCCAAACTACTCTGCGTTTATTGAGGCTGTTGTGTTTTTAACATATTTTAATTAGAAGTGTGAATTTAAAGCACTTAAAAAAAGTGCATTTAAGCGCAACTTTTGTCAATGCACAATTTACTGGCATACTGACTGCAGGACTGATCGGAGGCAAATTTCATTTCAAAAGACTACCCAAAGGAGGACTTGATAAAACCGTGGTTTTATGCAAACAAAAATCTGCATACCACTGAAGCACTTCAACCTTGTGCTACCATCTAAATGCAAAAGATGTTGCAGCGAGCACAGAAACTGTGGGAGCTGTTAGAGCTAGCAGTCCGAGTACCAACAAAAGGTGTCGGCAGCCCAAACTTGATGAAATGACTGGCTTCAGGACCACAATTAGTAAGTCAACATCAGACAAACTAACAAATGGACTGCAGAGCACTATCAGTGGTAGAAGATAGGTTATTAGAAAATGTGATAGTCAGGTGATCCATCTTTCCAACTGCCATGTCGAAAGACTATTTCAAGTAAAATTCAACAGCTTTATGACACTAAAAAGCAAGCCAAATTGGATGCATTACAGAAAATCCTGCTAATATGGAGGAACAAACAAACATGAGCAAACAAGACTGGAGCAACAGAAAGATCCACTCATACAGGATGTTTCCACACGGTGAAATTCAACGATGAATATAGTTTCTTGCCTACTAAAGAATCAAGAGGCTTTTTTTTGCTGCTTTAGATAAACAAAAGCACAAACTAGTCATTTTTACTCCATCAGAGCTGATAAAACTCCAAAAGCTGGTGACTGTAGTTGAGCCATGCAGGTAAATAAAACAATTTTTTAACATGTTGTTACTGTTTCTTCAAAAAGCTCTATAGTTGACAGTTATTGTGGAGATTAATAATTACTTTCTTGAACTATCTACTACAGGTTTGTGACTGAGCTTCTTGGAGGTGAGACATATGTCTCATCTTCAGTGGTTTTACCTCCTTTCTGCCACCTGCATCACACCATGGAGGTCAAATAATCATTTTACACCAAGTAACTTTCCAATTCAGGGTTTGGGGATGACTGGAACCTTACATGAGAAAATATTACAGATATTGTTTTGTGGAGGTTGTCATGGTTCGAATTTGAGGAAAAGACAAACGGCTGCATGGTCTCAGTGGATGTCAGAATAGTGATTTTATTATACATATGTACATATGGGGAAGATGAGCAGTACAAGG